GTAGCTCTTGAAAAATCAGTCAAAATGCTCAAAAAACTCAGTTATGGGACTCTCTGTTCTGAAAATGGCTGGCAGTCAATGAGTTAATTTGGAGCCTCGTGACCCCAGAAGTCAGCGGGCCTCTGGTCAGATCTACGCCAGCTGGCGACCCACCCCCCCCCCGTGAAGGTTTGAAATTAATCCATTATTAGGAAGCAAGAAAATAGTATCCAAAAGGATTTTACATGTTAAGAACAAGGCTTTTTTTGTTTTGCATCCTGCCAAACACAGCATTATAGAGCCATTTCTTTCCATTTCAAGCAGGTGTCCCAAGTGTTCTTGGGGATAAAGATTAAATACTAAAGAAAGGGTAAAAAAATAAATAGAAAAAGTGAGGGCTGTAATGAAAAGTGCCCGCTAAAGTAATCTGTGCTATGTTATGAACACAATGTAACCAAACTGAATGTGAGGAGTAAAATATGGACATAGGTTTTAATAACTTAAGTGACATGTGCTGCACTTTGAATGTCCATGATTCATAAATCTACTATTTTTACCCTCTCAGGATGTGGAGGAAGACATTTTAGTCACAAGTAAGCATTTCAAAAAGGAAACAAAAAGGAGGTAAACACACCAATGAGAAAGTTAGAGGGGGTGGATTATATTTGAATACAGTTGCAGGTGTACCGTCCCTAATTCTGGCGGCATAGTTTGATTCTATGAGCATGTTTGCAGCATCCGTGTGTACACGTCAAAGTAAGAAATTGGAGATTTTTTTTGTAGCTTCTTCTGGAGGTTTTTGGGGCTGGAACCCTGTCTTATTCATGGATGCTGCTGCTACAGAGCTGAGGCAAAGACTCGTCACCCCCCGAGGACCACCTCTGAAATATTCTGCTCCCCAAAGGACTCCGACTCCGACTAAATCTGCCCAAGTCTGTTTGGGACGAAAGCTGAATCGCATTAAATCCAATGACGAAGATTAATGTCTGGATTTCTAACGTAGAAAATAAGATATTCTACTCAAGAAAACGTTGAAAAGTCTGAAAATATTTGGAATCGGTTCAGCTTTTTACTGGCGTAATCCCTCACTGTCCCTTCTGTTATCCCAGGTTTACAGTGGGGGAAATAAGTATTTGACCCCTTGCTGATTTTGCCCACTTACAAAGAATGCATATTTTTCCTCATCAGATGGTTATCAATTTTTATAAATTCATATGATGTGATTTTCTGGAATTTTCTTTGGGATTCTGTCTTTCACTGTTACAATGTACATATGATTAAAGTTAGAGATCGTTGCATTCTTTGTAAGTGGGCAAACCTGCAAAATCAGCAAGGGGTCAAATACTTATTTCCCCCACTGTAAGTGTCCCGTCTCGGCCTTTTAGTTTAACCTGTTTGCAACTTTTCTGGGCTGTGAGCTTTGGTGGAAGACATTTAGTCATCAGACGATCGCTCGTCCTCTCAGTTTATCTGTATGTTGACCAGCGGCTAGATCTGGACAAACGGTTGATCTGTCTGAGATTTAAAAAAAATAATTTAAACCTGGGAAACAGTGTTTGTTTAACTGGCCTGGACCAATCTAAATTGGAGCTCAGAGGGGGGGTTTGCAGACACTACCTGACAGCTGGGATTCATACATCCTAATAGGGAAACAACCCCTTTTTACCTGTTTAAAATGAATATTTTAAAGGCTTTTGTGTCTCACAGGACAGGGAAAAGCCCGTTTGCATGCAGCTGAGGCCCAGAGTATCGAGTCTTTTCTCGGCTTCTGGTGGCCGTTCACCTCCAGGGCCGATCTTCCCGCTTTAGCTGCAGGCGAGCGTCTCTAAACCTTCGTTTTGCTCCCCGGCCCAACCGCTTCAACTATCATCACATGAGAAAACTCTCCCTGCTCAGCAGCCGACCCCCCCCCCCCCATCCCCGAACTACTTGTTCTGTTTATTTATAGAGAGCCCTTAATGATCTTCAACAAAACACCGAGTACACTGGATTGAAGAGCCCTAGATTTTTGTTTTCTGGAACGTATTGGAACACTTTAGCGGCAGGGGCAGCAAGTTCCATGATCCAATCAAGAGCAGTTGGTGCTTGTCAGCTGCGGTGGAG